TGGTTTTTTCACCTAACATGTTTTCAAGAAATTCCCACCCTTTCATACACAGATGCTTCATTTTAGTTTCCCATTGCATGAAAGGATCATGATATATTTAACTGATGTTACATTTATGATCACTTCATCTGAAGGCAGTTAGCCCAACCTTCTCAAATCTAATTTTTATTTCTTCTCTGCATCTTACTGGATAATATATTTGTCACATTGAATCTTAGTCCTAACACATTCCCTGAAGGTAGAGTCCAGTTTAAAGTATTTTCTTTTTTTAACAGCGCTGGTAAACGTTTGTGTTGCTGCTACAGAAAACCTGGAAGACTACTCACAAGTTGCTGTTGCTTTTCCAGTCTAGTCTAGGGACCCAGAAAGAAAGGAATTGGTCCTGTTTTCTGGTAGAGTGAGGTCAAGCCAGCACCAACATAGGATCTAGTTCTAGGCCTGCCCCGACCTGCTCTGTGACCCTGGGCTTTTCCTTCTCTTCTCTGACCTTGGTTTCCTGAACTGTAGAACGAGGACATTTGACTAGATCAAGGGTCAGCAAGCACTTCCTGGAAAGGGCCACATAGTAAGTATTAACTCTGCAGACCACAGGGCCTGTCACAGATACTTAACTCTGCTGTTAGTATGAACATGCCCAGTGTGTAATGTGTCCAGTGTGAACATGTTCATTGTGTAAGCGAATGGGTGTGGCTGTTTCCACCAAACACAGTGGGTGAGGTTTGGCCCATGGGTCATAGCTGTTGACCCTTGGACTAAGGGCATTTCCATCTTTTAATTTCTGTAAATCTCTGTGAAGAGCTCTTCTACTAAGGGAAAGGAAGGGACAAACACCCAGCAGTGCCTAGATTGCCAAGGACTTTTGAGGGGCTTTATGGAGTGTCCTTAGAATCCTCAGGGCTCTTCTGTGGGGTGGATATGATGGGAAAGCTGAAACTTGGGGAGCTTCTGCCCTTTGCTCACTCTCTTCCTTTCACGCCCTTCTGAGCCTCCTCTTCTCAAGCCTCCGCTCTCTTCTAAGGCAGACTAGAAAAGATCCTCAGGGATGCTGGCCTCCTATGGGTGTTACATGGGTGGAATGAGGAAGTCCCTTAGTGCAACCTGCACAGGGGGAAGCAGCCAGGTGAGGACCTGGAGCAGGGCAGAGCACTAGAGCCCTGAGGGGACCTAGGGGTGTCAGAGGGGCTGAGGAGCCAGAGGCAAGAAAGAAGGGTGAGGGGTAGAAGATGAAGCCACCGTGGTGGGGCCGTGACACAATGTAGTGCAAAGGTTCCCAAGAATCACTGTGGCTCCCATGGGGAGAGTCAGGGTCAGGCTCCTCTTTATAGGATCTGTCATTTTGCAGAGTTCTCCTATTCCCTATGCTCCTCAACTCCCCAATACACAAGGGTGACACCCTCTCTCATCCACGCAAAGGGGAAAATGGAAAGTGCTTTTGTTGGCTGAAAGCTTGATTGTGGAGGGTGCGGTGGAGGAGGGGAGGTAACAGAGAAACCAAGGCACCCTGGATTTGCCGACTCTGGAGACTTTGCTCCGTCCCCCTAGTCTGTGACCTTGGGTGCTCCACTGATGCTCTCGCTCCAAGTTCCCCATCTGCCAAATGCCTCTGTTCCCCCTCTCACTGCCTCTCTGGGTTGGGATGAACATCCAGCGGGATCATGTGTGTGAGCTCACGCTACACGTGTGAGATGGCAGCTCATAGCATGTCGTCATTATTGTCTTTGCCGTGTTATCATCAGCTTATCCTCTGCTGCTCAGCTGGCTCTTCGGGCCTGTGAACGTATTTGAAGGTCTGGGTGACCCTCCTCTTTTAATTTTTCTTGTGTTAGCATTGATTTGCCTGGGCCTGAAAAATCATTCTGTAAACAAGCTCAGATTCCGTGGCTCTCATTGAAGGCTGTGGGCAGAAGATGGTGTTATGGGGCTGGATTGGGGTGGTGAAGAGGAGGAGGAGGCCAGGATGGGGACGCAGAGGGGAAGCCTGTGGAGGGGAGGATGGGGAAGGTGGTGATTTGCCCCTAGGGGCATCTGGTGCAGTTCCCTCAGGCAGATCACTGTGGGGCTTTGTATCTGCAGGGCTTGCGGAATGCTTCAGACTCTGAGGGAGACAGCTCTGGGTTTGAGATGTGGATCTAGGTCTTACTAAGTGTGGCATCTAGGTCATAAGGACAACTGCAAATGAAAAATAAGAGGCTTTGTTCCCCCTGTTCAAAATAAGGGAAATTTCTTTCCCTTCCTCTTTCCTCGAGCGTTTATGTTAGAAAACTCATAAGTGCTTTCTCTTTGCTTTGGAATGTATAGAAACTCTTTCAAAGACCACATAGGTCTCTTTTCACCGCCCCCTCCCTGGACCTGGGGGCATCTCTCTGATATGTGAACATCAGGAAAGATAATGCCCCCACCTCCCAGTTTCATTGCAAAGGTAGGCACCTAATTTAGGTGGGCACCTTGCTTCGAATTGCAAAACTGCCTTCTATCATAGAGAAAGTAGAAGTTGGCTTTTCCTCTGGAGAAAGCCCATCAGCTACCACAGATGGTCATTCCAATTACAGGAAGTTTGGATGAACTCTGTGTGACAACCGGTGCTGTCAAATCCTCTTAACGTGTTCTTGTAGCTCTCCCCACATTTCCAACATGTAAACTGCACCTGCACATGCTTCACTAGTGCTGTCAGAGTACGAATATTAGAATCCTTTCTGGTAGGAAGAGAAACAGGCAAACACACACACAAAGAAGCCTCATGCCTATGGCACGACTGGAAGCTACTAGAGCTGGGGTTCAGAGTCGGGCGGCTAAGAACCCTGACATTTCATCGTGATGTCTACCCAAGCTGTCCTGCTAAACTGATTTTCCTTCTTGAATCCCACTGTCTTCCATCTCCTCTGAGCTGATTATTGTCTGCTAGCCTCTCTGGGTCCACTCTCTGTCCTGTGCCTGGCGAGTCTGCCCTCCTGGCAGACTGCCTTCCTGGCTCTTTTGAACTCCGTTTCCAGTTGAGTCTGCCCAATGGGGTGAGAGGCTGGTACCAGACACTGCTCAGTTTTCCTTGCCCGCTTTCTGTTGCCTCCCTGCTGCCCCTCCAGGCAGGCCCTCCTACAAGTTAGGTCTCCTTGGGTTCTTTTAAAGCACCTCCCTCTGCTTGCCTCTTCAGGTCAAGAGGCGGTGACCAGCTTTATACCGTTGGTAGCACCAGGATGCTGCCAGCCCTGTGGTTCCCATTAATCCGTCTGCGTTTTGGCAAACCGACCTTTCTTTGAACCCCTTTTAAACTCTTTAAACATTCTTATTTAAGTCTCTTCTTTGAACAGGGCTGGTGTTTCTTTTCAGGACTCCAGTTCCTGCCTGCTCCCCAGCCTTAACCTCATTTCCCTTTCTCTTTCTTCTGACCAAGAAGTTGTATAGCCTGATCAAACCACAACTCCAAAAGTCCCCGCGTGTTCACTCTCCAGGGAGATTGGTTTAGCAATGACAGGACGGAGTGTTAACTTCTGCATCTCTCGAGTGCCTACAATAGGGCGGGCACGTGGCTCCTTCACTCACAGGGCTTCCTGTCTAGTCCCAGCTTGTGCCTCGACTGTCTTCCCGACTGGGTACGTCACTGGCCCCCGTGGGACCACAACATCTCACCCGATGGACCTTTAGATCCGCATGCCTTGGGCAGTCGTTTGAGGCAGAGACAGGGTTCTCCATCAGAACCAAGGAGAGCTCAGGTTGAAAGCACTCAGTGCCTCATTCAGGAACACCGGACTCTTTCTGGCTAAAGAGGGGCAGAGTCCAGAAGGCTGACTGGACTGTACACTCTGACTTTGTAGGAACCAGCCCCACGGTGGCCTGGGGGTCACAACCCGAGCCCCATGCCCTCCTGCGCTCTGGAACTCTGAGCAGCGTTTCTGGTCCCTGCCTGCGTCCGCAGTCCCTGAAGGGTGGCACGTGGCCATGGGTGCTGCTGTCCGTCTCGGGATCCCAATCTCGGCTGACCCTGGTGGGTGGTGAGAGTTACTCTCTCACCGTGACTGGTGCAGCATGTCTCTGCTTTGAAGTCACCAGCAGTGCTTAGCGAACAGGTTTCCAGTTAAACCAACCGGAAAACCTGTTTTCCCCTTGGAATTTAATACTTTGGACTGAAGTTAAATAACTTCTCACAGATTATGCAGGAGAGTTTTTTTTTTTTTTTTTTTTTTTTAAAGAGTATCGCTTGAGTGACACATTCTTCAGGCTTTGAGGTTTCTGAAGTTCCTAGTCTGGAACTGTTTTCCCCTATCACCTGCCAGCACTTTCCAACCATTGAATCATTATTTTCCTAGACCCAATATTCTTTCTTTGACTAATCTCCCTGATACCCCACCCCGACCAAGACCAGACAAATAAATAATCAAGTAGGAGGTTCTCTTTTGAGCTTTGATAAAGACTATTTCCAAACCCAAGAAAGGGGTTGATTAAATAAATAAATTATAATACATACATATACAGCAATATAATACAACCATCTATGTCATCATGCTGCTGTGAATTTACTAACAATAAATAAAATCACAATATATTAGGAGACTCAAAATAATCCCATATTATTGAGAAATATGAAGTTATATACCCCAGAATGTTAATCGTAGTCACCTCCATGCATTATGGGTAGTGATAATTATCTTTCCCCCTTATCTGTATAGTCTATCTTTTTTCAACAACTATGTATTAGTTGCACTTCCCCCCCATAATTTAGCTTTTTTTAAAGAAAAGGAATATTCCCAAATTATCAGTACATTATAAGTATCTAAATATGTGGCTTGAAGTTCTTTCCAAAATAAACATCCAAAGGCACAGTTCATACCCTGGAAATGCTGAGGATAAAAACCAGTTTGGCCTTCTCCACCCCTCACAGTCTACCTCTCCCCTGCATTTGGAAGCAAGCACTGTGATGGCTCATGGAGCTCTGTCCAGAGCTGTGATAGTGGCCAGGTGGCCTCCGATGTCTGCGGCCCCCCAGGTCACCAAGAAGTCTCGCTTACCTGGTGCTCACAGGCCTCTCCGTGGGCCCGGAGCTGGCCGACGAGCAGGTAGGTGGTGAGTGCGGCCAGGATGGGGATCGACAGCAGGCAGCAGGTCAGAGGCCAGTGGGCACTGCTCCTCCTGGGCGCCAGCCCAGCCCTGGCCGTGGGCCTGCAGCCGCCGTCCTCCGGCAGCATTTCCACGCTGGCTGTTTCCCCGAAGCCCAGCCGCAGCGCCTCTGCCATGCTGCTGCTGCTCCTAGAGCTGCCTCCAGCTCCTTCTGGGCAGAGAGACCCCCCCCATTAAATAGAAGCCCAGCTCTCACAGTGGATGAATTAATCACTGCCTGCTCCTCCCCTTTCCACAACACACTCGGCCCCACCCCACCCCGCTAGGGAATGCACCGCCTACAACAGAAACCAAGTTTGGTTTGAGAAGGAGAAGAAGAAGAAAGCTTTCCCAAGCATATTTATATACAGTGTGCTCATGTGCTCCTTCCTTCATCTACAAAAGGAAGTTAGGAAAGTCCCTGGAGGAGGAGAAAAAGAATTCATCAAGTCAGTGGGTGGAGCCAATGAAAACATACCTGCTCCCTGGGCTGCTGGAGGCCTGCCCGCGTGCCAGTCTGGGAGTGTGCGTCTTCCGGAAGTGAAAGTGAGGATGGGGAGGTGTGCCCTGTGGCTTGCGGACTGACAGATGGAAATCACGTTTGCATCACCACTTTGCAAAGTGCTGCCAAGCCCTCTCTTTCTTAGGTCTCCTAGGAGCTTATCCCCATTGCACAGATGGGATCACTGATGTTCTGAAACGAGAAGGCATCTGCCCTAGGTCAGCCAGGGATTAAGACACAGGAGCTCGGAAGAGGATTGAGTTCTTCCAAATCATGTTTTAGGCTTCTTTCTCACGGTTGCCTGTGAAAGGAAAGTGTATTTTTAGCTTGTGTTGACCCACCTGTGTTTGTCTGAGGCAAGATATAAGGTAATAAGAGGTGACTGTCTATATGGGGAGGACACCCTCTGATGAGTCCAAAGTTGACTGAGCCCAAGCTGGGCGTGCCTAGGGGCCATCACATGTAACAAAGGCTAACACTGATTAAACGCTGGCTTTGTGCCAGTCACTCTTCTGAGTGAGTGAAATGTATCAATGAAATTATTCCATCCTGAGATGACCTTTTGGGGTAGAAATGTTTCTGTTCCCACCTGACAGATAAGGAAATGAAAGTGTAGAGAATAAGTGATAGAAGCAGGCTTGGCACCGGGGCAGGATGGTTCCAGAGACTCCTAACCATTACATTACTCTGCACGTCCATGGACACCCACATCCATTCTACCCAGAGTAAGTCATCCCTTCCAGGTACAGGTTGCAGAGGCTTCCTGGAGAAAGAGGTGGCATTGGAACAAGACCTTGAAACTTAGGGAGGGTGGTACTGGAGAAGAAGAGAGGGCCCTACAAAAAGGTGGGTTACAGAAAGAGGGAAACTTAAGGGTGTCCTGCGGCGTGTGGTGGAAACCGGTCTGACTAGTGCGTCCATTCAATGGCTACGTCTGCTTATATCACAGCTGAAACCCTTCAGGCTACTTGGAAGAACCTTGAATGACCTACCCACCGTCATCTCTCCTCAAGGTCCAGCTTTTCTCCTGTCATTTCCCAAGCTGTGGTTCCCTCCAATGCTCTGTGGGCTGCCTGCACTGTTGTATTTGCTGCCCCTCCACTGGGGAGCTTCCGTTTCTTTCCTTTCATATCACCACACTCCTCTGTTTTTTTTTAACTTCACGTAGAAACCTTCCCTGCACCTCACAGCCTCCAAGATGGGGTGAGATGCTCCTCTATATTCTTACAGCCTCCCATTCTTTGCCTGTAACTGACTATTTCATACCAGACTGTGATTAACTGTTTTTCATCACCATCAGTAAAGTATCAAATCTAAGATGGCAGACACGTCCCTTCGTTGTTGCTTCTAACATAGTAGCTGTCACACCATAGAATCTTAACCAACACCTATTGAAATAAGCATCTAACAAATTCTCAAAGAATCCCAGCCAAGGGTGTGTTCCTTGGTTACCTATTCTTGGTTTAACAAATCTAATAAGAAACTTTTCCATGAGATTAACCTAAATCTTTGCTATTGTAACTTTTAAACACGTAATCACACTTAGTATCAAATCATCTTGAAGGAATTTATAAACGTGTACTTACCTTTGTAGTTCTTTTTTAGACAGCTGGTGTGCTTGATCAAGTCAAGGTCTTAAAAGTGGTAAGTGTATGGGTTCAAATGAAGAGGTAGGTGTTATCATCTTCAGTATAAGAAGGTCTTGAAAAATGGTGAATACTGAAAACACGAGACTGGGTATTTGGAGACCTCAGTTTTAGTCTTGTGACCTTTAGAACTCTAGGAGACTCTCCTCATTCTGATGTATCTGATTATCTGCAAAATGTGGTAACTAAGCTTATTGTGGGCTTCCCAGGTGGCACTGGTGGTAAAGAACCCGCTTGCCAATGCAGGAGACGTAAGAGACACAGGTTCGATCCCTGGGTCGGGAAGATCCCCTGCAGGAGGAAATGGCAACTCACTCCAGTATTCTTGCCTGGAGGGTCCTCATGAACAGAGGAAAAAATACAGAGAGATTCTTTATACCCTTTACTCAGCTTTTCCCAAAGACAGCATCTTGCCTAAGTATAATATAATACCATAATCAAGAAGTTGACATTGATATTCATATTCTACCAGCTTTATATGCACTTTTTGTGTATATGTGTTTAGTCCTGTGATATTTGTCACATGTATAGATTCCTGTGACCATCACTACAGTCAAGATACAGAAAAATCTCTACCACAAAGATCTGGCACGCTGCATTGTATAGTCACAGCTGCCATCCTCACCCTCTTTCTTCCTTAACCCCTGACAATCACAAATTTTCTCTCCAACTTGGTAATTATGCTATTTGCCAAATATCATATAAATGCGGTCTGTATCCTTTAGAGATTGGCTTCGTGTTTTTTTTTTTTTTTTTTGCTCAGCATCATTTCCTTGAGGTTTGTCCAAATTATTACATAAATAATACTTCATTTCTTTTAATTGCTGAATGGGGTTCCATGGTATGGATGGACCACAGTTTGTTTAACAAGTTATCCATTGATAAACTTTTGAGTTATTTCCTGTTTAGAGTTATTAGAACAGAATAAAGCTGCTGTGAATGTACGGGTGTACAGATTCTTGTGTGAACATGTTTTCATTTCTCTAGAGTAAATGCCCAAGAGGGAAATTGCTGAGTCATGCACTTGGCAGAGATTTAGTTAATAGGCAACTGCCAGACTTTTCCAGAGTGGTTGTATCATTTTGCTTCCCACAGCAATGTGCGAAAGAGTCAACATCCTTTCTGCATCCTCTTTCCAGAACTTAGAGTTACTACGATTTTTTAATTTTAGCTCTTATGTTAAGTGTATAGGGATATCTCACTGTGGTTTTAATTTTCATTTCCCTAATGGCTAACAACATTCAACATCTTTTCATGCACTTTATTGTTATCTGTATAACCTCTTTGGTGAGACAGACATCTATTTTGGCTGTTACAATGTACTTCTCCCTTCCTCCTTGATTCTCAGTGGAGAAGGAGATTCTCAATTCTAAGGCAGAGGTAAGTAGCTTACAGAGAAATAGTGAGGTACTGCATTTGAGTGCAAGATAGTGTTCTAAGTGATGGGCTAAAGCAGTGATGAAAACACATAAAAATCCCTTGTTTCATGAAACTTATATTTTAGTGTGGGGAGATGGCCAGTAGACCACAAAAAATAAGTTGAATTTATGGTATAGCAGATGGCTTTAGTGTTTTAGAAAACAAATTAAAAAAGCAGAAAAGAGAGCTAGAGAGTTACCCTAGTTGTAATTTAAAATAAGATGGTCAGAAAAAGCAACTTTTCCCTGAGACTGGACGTTTTGTTGAAGACCTGGAATGAGGAGAAGCCCTGTCGGTGTCTGGTATCATAGTTTGCTCCTGACCCTGAAGCAGGTGTGTTTAAGGAGCATCAAGGTGGTCATGAAGATTGGAACTGTGTCACAGGAGCCTGACCACACAGGGCCTCTGGGTAAGACTTGGCTTCTCCTTCTGGGAGATGGGGAGTCTTAGGAGATGTGTTGCAGAAAGTTGGCAGGTTCTGATTTCAACTTCAAAAGGATCATCCTGGTTGCTGTGTTGAGAATAGCCTGAAAGGAGAAGGATGGAAACAGAGAGACTAGTTTGGAAACTATTGAAGTAAACTAGGTGAGGAATAATGGTGAATTGGATAGGGTCGTGGAAGGGAGGGTCACAAGAAATGGCAGATTCCAGATATATTTTGAAATAGAGCAGATATAATTTCTTACTGAGCTGAATGTGAATGAGAGAGTAGAGAAAAATCTGGGTCCAAGTTCTTTCCTGGAGCATCAGAAGAATGGAGATGCTATTCATGGAGACAAGGAAGACTGTGGGAGTTCAACATCTCAGATCTAGATGTGCATTCTTTAAGGTGATTTTAGACCGCAAGCAGAGAAGACATGATGAGGAGGCAGTTGGATGACAAGTCTGGGGTTCTGGGGAAAGACTTGGGAGAAGACATTCATTTTTGAGTCACTCTTGGGGAAGAATCCATCACATAACTAGTGCCCCAAAGTGGAGGCTCCTCTTTTGATTACAGGTTGTCAGTACAAAGTCCTTAGGACCAGATTTTAGAAAAGCATTAAGCTGAACCATAAGAAATTGCCAATATCAGACCATTCTTGACCTATATTAATAATATATATGCTTCATCATAACTGTCCATTCCAGATGTCTTATATTATGTAACACTCCTGGTGAGTCTGAAACAGTGTGCTAATCAAAATACAGAGATATTTCTGTAAGCCCAACTCATACTGAGTGAGATTTATCTACACACCCACACACTTATCTTTTCAAGTTAGGTTTGGTGCCAAATGCATCACATCAGCGTGTTAGGTTTGCGTCTCACATTGTTAGGGGTTTTTTCCCTCACATTTTTGGATTTTGGACTTGTATTATTATCATTAGGACTTCCCAGATGGTGCAGTGGTAAAGAATCCACTTGCCAAGGCAGGAGACGCAAAAGATGTGGGTTTGATCTCTGGGTCGGGAAGATCCAGTTCCATGGACAGAGAAACCTGGTGGGCTAGTTCATGGGTTCTCACAGAGTTGGACACAACTGAGTAACTGAGCGTGCACACACACATTATTATCATTATTGCTGTTATTA